TGAAGAGGAAAGAGCGGAGCGGTGCGGTGCGCAGGAGGAGGTTTGGAGGCAAGAGGAGGTGACTCCTGTGGGTGCAGTGGCTGAATGCCCCTTTTTATGCGCTCAGGGAGTTGGCAGGGCATCAGGGGAGTGGAGGTGTCTTTTTTTTTTTTTCTTAATTCTCTTCGTTGTTTTAGGGCTTGAAAGGATGCCCTCCTTTCTTTGCCACCACCATGACCTGCCTCCAAACACTCCCTCGAGAGCTAAGAAAAACAAAGCTATTGTTGGTGTTGGAGGCACAACTCCAAATCAAATTCCCTGCAACTGTCAACTCATCACGGGCCTTTCTGAGCCTCTTATGGCAATGACAAAGCACGACAAATTCCTTGACATATCACACCCTCGAGGGAGACCCTTGGTTCAGCTCAGTCACTCACTTTGAGCCTGATGGCAGGCTCTTGGTTCACTCAATTCCAACAAAAATGTGGTTTCCCAATCACACCCTGAGATGCGCTCTGGTTCAACCTCCGGCTCAGGGGAGGTTTGGCTTGGGTTGTCCAAAACTCTTTCACAACCAGAGAGCATTAGTCCTTGGCAGGGTTATAAAATTAGTTTTATGTCAATAAAGACGACTTTTACGAAGGTTTTAAAGTCATTTTAGATCACTCTGACTGGTGTATTGAGGCTGGCGGGACACGGAGGGGCGCACAGAGACCAAAATATTGCGATATTTCTGTGCTGCACACCCTTCGCCGTACCTCAGCAGGGCCGAGATGCCATTAGCAGCCTGAGGAGCTCTGCCCCACACCCGTGACCGTGCGTCCCCATCCCTCCTAGGCTGGAAGCCTTCCAGGCGTCGCCGGGATATTTTCTGATCATCCTAGCAGGGTCTCCAGCCGTGAGCCCCCTCCACAGCACGTGGCACTTGGCAAAGCCGCTCCCATGCTAACCCATTAGCGAGCTCACATTGTTTAAAAAAAATACGACTTAATTGCTTAACCACTTTTAATTTATATTTTAATGAGCAGAGGTGTCTGAAGATCCCTTCCAACTGAGGATCCCCATTTATCCCGCCGTTAAAGAAAAATGAAAAGCCGTAAACCTTCCCCCAAAACCACAAGCTGCAGCTGAAGCCGTGACAATAAAAGCCAGCTCTGTAATTAGCCCTTTTATTGGAGACGCTCGTGGGGGAGGTTTGGGGAACCGGTTTCAGCTCCGAGCCTATTCACCCCTAGCCTTTTTTTTCTGCAAACATGCAAATCTGAGTCAGGGCGCATCTGTGCAGGAAGGGAGGACTTTTCCTCCTGAACCTCATCGGGCGTTCGTTGAACTGCAGGGTTTTCAGCCCAAGGGGATTTGCATTGCAGGAAACAGGGGAAACTGGCGCTCGCCTTTGGCAACGAGCACCCTGCATGCCCCGGTCCCACCTGGAAACCCACTCCCACCCCGGGGCTCTGGGATCGCCGATTTTCCAGCTCATGGTGGGGATGTGGTTGGGGCGAGGAGGGAAGCGGCTTGAACCTGGCTCTCAACCGGGGAAAGGAGGCGGCGGCTGCAGCTCCCTGACCTTACGCAACCGGCAGATCTGCCGAGAAACCGAATGAACCTGTTTGAGCCCAGGCGGAGAGCGTAGCTGCCGGGAGTTCCCAGGGTGGCTCCGCCACCGGCTC